AATGCGTTTTGAGAACGCGTTTTTTTCGCAGAAATTTACGCCATGGGAGATACAAGCAATAAATAATGTACCATCATTTTTATTAAGTAACGATGTTTGTGCCGTTATAGAACTCGATATTGATTCAAAAGAACGATGAATTAAGACAAAAAATTTCATTTTCTTGTCGAGACGGCACATGTCGTGTTAAAGTTGGTATTAAAAATGACTTCAAATATTTAAAAAGATTGTTATTATCGAAACTAGAAGAAAATGGTAAAATAAAGCCAAGACAAAAACAAACAACAACAAAAATTTATTCAACACCATCAGTATTAACAAAAGAAAATCATGTTGAATTCATACATACTTCAATAAAGAAATGGGTTGAAGATACCAAAGAAAATGTGAATTTGGATAACTTAGAATTAAAGCCAGATGCTGATTATACACTAACAATAACTAATAATGATAATGATCTTGAAGGTTCAATAAGATGTAAATGTGGTGTTAAAATAAAATTAAGGAAAAGAGATGGTAAATTTCAAATTACCAATTTTTACAAACATTTAAGATCCTTAACATGTTCTATGATAAAAGAAAAAAAGAATCATAGTCAACAACATCAAATGTTGCATAATATTATCGATAATAATAATTATGACGTCGAAAATAATAACAATTATCAAACGACAGATTCTTTACCAGCAACACCACAACAATCATTATCACAAACATTTTGAAATTTACCAACATCTTCATCATATCGAGCAAACGTATCATCATCGTCAACGACAAAAGGTACTAAGCGTATTTCATCAAACTTAACATCAACATATTCACAACAATTAACATCAGCTGCGAAAAGACATAAAAAATAACATTTTTTCTGTTTATTATTAATTTTTGCATATGTACCTCTTCTCTGTAGTTCAACATTCCAAGTAAGAAAAGATGGAAAATCAGATTACTAATCAATTATAATAGTACTATTATGATCTGGTTTTAATCAGGTTTTCCAACTTTAAAAGATGAATTTCATTCTATTTAATTTTTTATAATCTATTGTAATTTGTTAAAAAACGTTAATCAAATATAATTGATTATAAGAAATGAATTATATTCGATTAACGTTTTTTAACAAATTACAATAGATTATAAAAAATTAAATAGAATGAAATTCATCTTTTAAAGCTGAAAAACCTGATTAAAATCAGATTATTATAGCACCAATATAATCGATTAGTAATCTGAGTTTTCATCATTTCTTTCAAATTTCGTTTTTTGGAATGTACTGTAGATTTGTTCATTGTCAGTGACGAACTCTTTATTGCAGAATTTATCTTCAACACTTTTGTTTTACTGCTTTTATATATATATAGTTTTATTGAAGTAGGAGTGACATTAATCGTCAATCCTCCTTTTACTATCGAAACTTTTTAAATGCTTTTATATTTAAAGACTTCCGTTGTTTTGTTACTTATGGGCTACATTATTTTGCATTTTGTATTGACTAATCATAACCTAAAATAAAGACTAAAACAGATAAAGTTGCCTACCCGTGGTAGAAAACTAAGTTTCTGAATGAGTTATCTATGAAAAATGTTATTAGATATGTTCTATTAACTCGGTACGTATGATAAAAGAGTATTTTGCAAAGTAATAAATTTAAGGACTGAAGACTTCAAGATTATATAGGATTCCCACTGATTCCCTTGAATTCCATCGTATTATCTTGGATTCCCTCAGATTCCCTCGGATTCCCTCGGATTCCCTCGGATTCTCTCGGATTCCCTCGGATTCTCTCGGATTCCCTCGGATTCCATCGGATTCCATCGGATTCCCTCAGATTCCCTCGGATTCCCTCCGATTCCCTAAAATTCCCCTGAATTCCATCGAATTCCAGGATTCCGCTATTCACCCCTTGTCAAATTTTCGGTATAAAAATGCATGTCTTATTTAACTTATGACAAAAAATATAAATGAAACAGGAAAGTGGCACTGTTTATCATGATACTTTTTCCTTTTCTTCGCTCTGAAACTATCAGTAATGGCACGGATCCTTTTTGATAATTTGCATACATGATGATCTTCAGCCGCCAGAGAAGCACGGTCTTGAGTGGTGTTTATCAGTTATGAATGTTCACTTGTAAGATAAAATTCGTGCCAAAAAAAGACTCGTAATCGTCTGAAACGATTTTTACAGAAATTCAATGAACCATCGGATGCAATTATCAAATCCTACCGAAAGCAATGGTTTCAAAGTACGTCTGCAATGAATATGGTAGTTTAGTTCGAAGTTGCCACCTTAATTAAGAATATGATCGAAATGGTAATGCACTCTAAAGCTTAGATGCCAACTGAGGACAAATATCAAACGAAAGTGTTATAAAGATGAGTACTGCTACATGAAAAGCTTTGGAATGGTACAGAACAATGAGTAGTAATTGAACGACAATTTTGGCTTGACAGAGCCATTATTAAATAGAACCGATCTGACAGATCTTGATATTGAGCTCGAAGTAAATAATGTAACTTATTCTGTCGTTTGAGAATGTAAGTTTTGTCGAAAGCTGACTTCCCACCAAGACAAATAACAGAATGATGATTTGAACTGCAACTTAAAGGAAAATAACGACCGTAAAAGAAAACTGAATCAAAGTAAGGATACACACGACGATGGTATCCAAGTCAACTGTCAAAAGTGACTTCCCAGTTACTGTGAGGATCATAAACGATCCCAATGATGAGACTTCATCCAAATGTCGATTTTTGAGGAGGAATATGTGTATAGACAAGAAATGCTTCCGAAAATGACAGTAAACACCAATATCTTCTGTCATAGGCACAAAGGGGCTGTTGATCTCGGTTTTAACAGGATCGATGATATAAATCAGTGTAATATTGCTTGTGAAGCCTGTATATTTTACCTATCCTGTGCAACGATAGGAAGAAAAATAAAAGTAAAACCATGATAGTATGCATATTTTTTCAACCATCGATTAACTTTATCTCTCTTCATTATTCAAGTTGTCTAATCGATAAGTGAAAGAACAAGCAAAAGAATAACAACATTTTTGCGAGAAAAAACTCAGTATGTCTCAATAATATATGATCATGCTTTATCCCACGTCTATGGTTGATTGCACGCAAGCCAAATATTTTTTCGATATGTATAGAAGTAATATAATGCTTTCATTTTCTTTATAAAAAAACATCGATACATTACCAACGTGTTGCATTCGTTATTGTAATATACATCGCGTTAATACAAGAAGCAGACGTAAGTCTTTGGATATTGCAGTATTCCTCGTAAGTCTTTTTACTCTATCAGTGTACAAAAGATTTTTTTATTTTTAAATGATAACAGTAATTAAGTATAGTTTATGTGAGCTTTATATTGTGTCTAAATTTATGGAAGGAAGAACATGAAAGTGAATATTGACAACTTTTGCGAATTTTATGAAAATAGTGATGAAGTTAGTAACTTTTTTTTCGTTAATATAGGCCGCTTGTGGCTATTAGGGGATTTAATGAAAAGGATAGCAACTGATATGCTACTGGAATCGGTCCTGATTATTCGATAGTTATAAGAAACCCTTGGTGATTTGTATCCGTTCTAATATGATTCGGACGGACACTGGAACTATTTGTTGTACATAGGTAGCTATTGGAATGTCTTGAAAAACTTTAAATGCAAGCAGATTAGGAACATCTAGACAATAATCTTCACAACTTTAAACGATCGAAGTGATTCGTGCCTTAAAACCTTACATACTTGTCATAAAAATACCAATGGGATTTCATCAAGAGGTGCTTCCCATGTCAAATCTTCGTATCGCTGGAGATTTCAAAAGCATAATAAAAGGCAGCTATGTTCAAGGAAAGACAATAGTGTGTTTTGAAACGAGGGAGAATTGAAAAAAAATTGGCTAGATATTCTAACAATTTTCCAATAGAACTGATTTTGAGAGTGTATTTCTTCTACTTCTTTCATATGTTTATATTTGTGCTTTGAGGAAATTTATCCACATATATGGCAAGATCTAAAACTGGGATATGCCAATAAATTGTTGTTTATTATTATCATTATAAACAATCAATTTTTTAATCTTGTGTATGCTTGGAGAATCTCCAGCTCCTATAATTTTCAGTTATGATAACTCGAAGAAAATAATAAAAAATTGATGTATAAAAATGAAACCAAAATTTTTTATGTTAAATTAATAATAAACAAACTATTATTATAAGTGCTCTCATATAAAACAAATCATTAAGGATTCATATTGCAACCATTCTGCAGATTTCGCTCACGCAAGATAAGTCTAAAAGCTATGCTTTTTTGTGAGAATGCTGCACTAATATTTAATGAGAAATTTCAATAAAACACTGATTTTCCAGTTACAGTAAGAATTTGAAGAAATCAGAAATAGTTCATAATGACGCTTTGGTTTAGAAATTGTCATCGAGAATTCTCGTGCTACAGATCTAATAGCTTTTCAAATTAAGTCGAAAACATAACAGTGGCTAGCCGTGAGAAGTACCTCGAAAGATCCCCGACAAACAAGTAGTTGGTGCACTAAAAAGTCCCTTAAAGAGACGCATCAAGCTGTTTGTATTCATCAAACAAACATCAGCAATCTTGATCTAATACGTTTGAATAAGGAGTTGCAGTTGCTGAGAACCGAGATATATTTTGAAATAAAGTGTGAGAACGCTTTTTCTGCACGTGCACAATATTTCAATATTAGATTTAGCGGAAAACGTCAGTCAGAGTTTTTTTATTCATGGTATCAAAAGTAGATATAAATGAAATAAACGGAAGTTTTTCTGCTTTTATGTGTTCTTGTCTGTACTCATACAAATGTCGAAATGTATACGGATATTTCAAATTACTTATCTAATCTGACGGTTACTTTGAGTAGGAGTCTTTTTCAAGTATGGAAGTACGATTGAAGATTGATCTAGAATGATTCATTTTAACCTAGGAGTTCAATTGAACCCGTATTTTTGTAGCGCACATCCGAGTAAAAAGATATTGTTGGCTAATGTTTCCATAATACAATGAATTTCTAGTAAAAATTTCAAGTAGTATGACTCTGTTTTACAATAGTGTCATGAATGCGGTTTGTTTCTTGACCACTGAGAAAATTGAACATAATCTGTTTTTTCTAATGCATGTGGACATCGCCGTCATAGTGTAGTTCCTTGATGCATTAAGTATCAATGTAAAAATATCAATTTGATTAGATGTATTTGTGATAAAAATGTTCATTCTGACCCACATACAACTGTGCACAACGAGATTGACGCTAATATCAGCGCACACACATCTATCCACTCTTTTGACACGTTGGATACTAGTTGTTTTGAAGACTGGGAAACAGCATCAAACATCAAAGAGTCGAAAATATTGTTGAGGGTCGCGCGAGTCATACAGACGAGCATTACCTGTTAGATAAGTTTGTCTTTAAAAAGTTTATTGGAGTATTTTACAAAAAACAGATCAGAAAAATCTGGAACATATAATTCGATGCGTCCTCATCTCCCCCACCTTTCTAACCGCGGAAACCGCACTTCTTTACTTTGTTTTTGTCAATAGTTATTCAATAAAGCTTGTCAGCACAACTCTTTTGAAGCTGAGATGTGAAACTCACGTATATCCTTCCAAGTTGTTATCCTAGTGCATTCTTTGTAAACAAAAAAGGACGTTTTTTTTTTAAATTTATGCATGCATCAGAAT